CATAGCTGAATTTGCCCTACCAGGTATTCCCTTATACCATGCAGCAGGATTTACAGCATATTGTTCTTATGCTGTTTTGTAAACGGATGTCTGTTAATATGTTTTCCTTCTAACATTCTTAAAATAAGAAAGAAAGAAAGAAAGAAAGAAAGAAAGAAAGAAAGAAAGAAAGAAAGAAAGAAAGAAAGAAAGAAACTGATGGTTAAACATTCAGCCTTCAAAGGGAGGAATAAAGAATCTCTGACCAGGGGCTCCTCCAACGCCAACTATGACTATAGACTTGGAGGAGAGTTTTCCACAGAAGGAAATCAAAACAGAATGAGCCGCCCCTGTATCAATAAGCAGTTGAATTGGCTCACCCATGACATCTAAGATTATCTTGGGCTCCCCTGGACCTCTTCATTCACAAGACCAGGAAATGAGGGTTTGGCTGTGGGAGCGGAGACACTGAGACCTCCAGTATAACAAGTCAGGTGCATTTTAGCTGCCTCATAATAGAACAGGGCCCGGGTGGAGGCTTGATGCAACCTCATGTTGTGTCCAGTTCCTTTGTACTTGAAACAGGAACCCTTTCCTGGTTGTCCCTGGGTCTTTTCTTAGACATCCCGGGAAGGTTTGAAGCATTACCGACTACAACAGCTATCACCTTAACCTTTTTCTTTTGTCTATCCTCTGAGCCCTGATTGTTGAACATAGAAAAAGCTATGTCTAGCAATTGGGCCATAGGTGCCTGTGGCCACATCTGAAGTTTTTCTAGCTTACGCCAGATATCTGGGGCTGACTAAAAGATGAAATGTCCCATTAGTGCCTCTCCCTCCTTGGAAATGGATCTATATTATTACTGGTGGAAGGCTTCTACTAGTCTGTTACAAAGCCAAGCTGGATTTTCCTTTGTGCCCTGTAAGACCCCATTCACTTTATCCTAATTAACAGACTTTAGGGCACCATAATAAGAGAAGCTAATATATTAGACATCATTTTTAGTCTATGCTGAGCGGTGCAGTCCAAGTTTGGCTCTGTTGAAGGAAGAATAGCTGTTCCAAGGTGGTTTTTTTTTTTTCTTTTTTCTTTTTTAAAGCACATTGTTCATTTGCATAGTTTTTAGTCTATTATAGGATTCTCTGTCTTTCATCTGAGGTACAGCAAGTGGCCAAGATGAATTGGACATCTCACCATGGTAAGTCCAAGGGTCAAAGTTTGGAACCCATCTGCAACTTACTGGGGTCTGATTTTTTTGTCTCGGCATTTTTTTGCACTGCTGGACATCTGCAGCTGAAAAGGGAACCTGCACTCAAGTATTGCCTTGTATCCCTAGGACTTTTCTTAGGGACCGAGTAGTAGGAAGCACTGCTTTCGGTTTGACCTGTGGGGCTTAAAGCTGCCTGTGTGTATCCAGTGGGACTTAGGGGTCCCCGAGGAGGCTGTCGAGGGAGCCGAGCAACGGTGTGCTCCTGTGGGGCACTAGGCTCTAACAGAGTTCCCTGGTCACTTGGAGAGGATGGGCCTGAGATTATAAGGGGAAGTGAAGGTGACCTCCTAGTGTGATTTTCCATAATTAGATCAGTGAGACTGAGATCCCCCTGAGAGACAGGTAGGGAGCTCAGAACAGGGTCCTCCAGGATATCTTTTCCTCCTCGGGGCCTGCTCTAAGGACCGCGGTTCTTGCGCACTCCCTTTGACAGAGTCCCAGAGGCTTGGACATAGAGCATTTCGCTCCATCTCTTCTGTTCCCAGCGGGAACGCTCTAACTGGAGAACAGTCTCCTGGTTTGAAGGGCCATCCTGTACCCACGTTTTGCCACCTCCCTGTTCATACTGACCCCAGACCGTATTGCAGTAGTAGATAAACTGTTCATGTTTTCAACTGTCACGCTCAAACCTGGCCTGTTCATCAAGGATACGGCCCACTGGTGAAGTCGGTGGAGTGTGTGTGGTAACAATGTTCAAGAGATTTCTCATTGGCTCGGCTAGGTCTGAACTGTTCAAGGTGGCATCCCACACAGAAGACCCAGCGTCTGCAAGGTGCCCCTCGTGAGACTTCACACAGCCCGGACAGACGTTTCTGTCCAAACCTTAGGTGATGCCGCCATCATTGACCACAGGAGAAAGTCTTGTCTCCACACTGGGACCCATGAACTCCTTAGAGACGGGTCACTTGGATCCGCTGGCCTTGCCTAGCCCTTTAATTCCCTGGAGGTAATGCAAAACTTTCCCAGCGAAGTTCTTTTAACCTCCTAGTTGAACCTCTTGGTGACCCACTTGTATATATTCTAAGCCACTTGATGATTTAGCTGGTGTTTCAAGTCCCCTGATGACTCTACTAAAGCAGAGTGAAACCACGTGGGAAAAACATCTCTTGTATTTACTTCAATGAAAAAAAGGACTAAGACTAGGGATGACTCTCTTTTATTCATTCACGGTCACTTTAATTAGCTTTTAAATGTTGTTAAGCCTCGTTGTGCTCAGGCTTGGGGCATGGGTCCTTAATTTGTCCGCGCTGAAGCAGGGAAGCACAAAAGCAGGCAGCAATGGCCTCAGACAGGCCCTAGGAGTGGCTGAGGCACACAGTGGCTCAGTGCCTTTTGCCTCTGGTGGGCAGGCCAGCTGGCTGCGCGGCATGCGGCTAGGGACTAGGGTTCGGGGCCCATGTGCTCCCTGTCCAGCAGCTCTGTGCACCCATGGGCCCTGCTCCTGCTGAGGCCGCAGGCCTGGAGTGGGCGGCACGGATGTCAGCTTGTCAGCGCTCTGCTTGCCTGGTGCTCGGTTCTGCCTAAAAGCCTTGGGCATTTTAAAACAGGCAAGTGTTTTTTTCTCGCATCCACGTTTTCCTCTGGAGCAGGGTAAGACAGTCACGCCCGCTGAGGCCTGCAGCGTGCTAGTGGGCCGCTCTGTTGCAAGCAGCCTTATTTGCCCAGGACCTCAGCTGTGGGCCTCTGGCTGTGGCTGTACTGCCAAAGGTTGCTGAGGTTTTAGAGATAGCACAGTTTTTGTTTCATGCAGGGAGAAAGAGAAAGGTTCTTCTTTTTGGTTTTTCATAAGCCCATATGCTCTCCAAAATCAGAGACTTAAGCTCATCAGGGCAGTATTAAAAACAAAAAAGAAAGAAAAGACAGAAAAAGAGATGGTGGCGGCTGTTGACACACACTGACCTAGAAGTTCCGCCAGTCACGCAATAAGACAAGATGGCAGCTGGCCCTGTTGCGAGGCAATATGGCTGCTGGCCACGCGGTAAGGTAACTTGGTGGCACTCTGACCCGAAACACAAACCAAGAAAAAGCCATTTACAAACTAGAGTACGCAGAAGACCAGGCTAATTTGGCAAAATACGCAACAAACAAACATGGACAACAATGGATACCCACAGAGTAACTACAAGGGGCTACAAAAAAAAACAAAAGTCTACATTCCCTTCCTCCATTCTCCATAGCAGAGACCCCCTCTAGGGCCATGAAAAGATGTGTCCACAATTTCCAGCGTAGGGCATAGAGCAACAGAGATAGAAAAGAAACCTTGCAACATCTTAGAAACAAAAACTGTCCCCACATGGGCCTTACCTTGGCCTCCTCAGTACCTGAGCTTTACTTTCCTGGTTGGTTTGCCAAAAATGCTATTGAGTAATTCTTTTAAAAATGACTTACCAAGGTGGGCATAGTGGCACATACCTGTAATCCCAGCATTCGGGAGGCTGAGGCAGGAGAACTGCCACAAATTCAAAGCCAACCCGGGCTACATAGTGAGCTCAAGGCCAGCGTGGACTACATACAAAGACCCTGTCTCAAAAACAGAAAGAAAAGGAAAGAAAAAAAAAGGAAGAAAAGCGGCCTTCATGGGCTGTGGGCAACCTGAGAACTCACCCGTCTCAGCCTCCATTTCACGCCCCAGCCATCTCCACTCACCTCCCAAATCTGTTTCCAAATTTTCCCTCGTGCCATCACCCAGGCTCTTTCCAGGAAAACAAACCACCTAAGTGATACCAGCAGTGTTGCACAAATACTAAAGTTTCGATTAGGAGGGGAGCAGAGTTCACAATACTGATCCTTCTCACTGTTCCTCTGGCTGCCAGGTCACCCTGCTACTTTAGACCCTTCTGAGGACCTGTACTGCCCTGTCAAGGGCTCCTTTAGCATGACACAGTGGGATCTTTTTGTGTGTGCACTTGTGTGTGCATGCATGCGCGTGCGTGTGGTGCTGGGATGGGACCCAGGGCCTACCACTGAGCTACCAGTGAGCTGCACCCTCAGCCCTACGCAAAGATTCTTTGTGATTTTTACTTCTCCACCCCTCGCCAGCCTTGCTGCTACCTCCATGGCCTTTTTCTCTTGTCCACAACAATATTCATCTCCTCGTGAGCCCCTGAATACCGTGTTCACAGCCTACTGATTTGATCATCCTAGAAGTTCCTTCTTACACTGTCCCCTCTTCTCTGCCTCCTTTTTTTTTTCTTTTTTTGGTACTGGAAGTCGAACTCAGGACCTTGCACTTGCCAGGCATGCACTGTGCCACTGAGGTATATCCCTATCCTCTCTGCCTCCTTTAATGCCTGCTTATTTTTAAGACTCAGTTCAGAGCCAGGCCTGGCAGCCCACACCTGTAAACCAAGCAACAAGGGACATTGAGGCAGGAGGAGCACAAGTGTAAATCTCAACCGGGAAACTTAGTGAGACCCTGTCTCAAAATAAAAACTAAAAAGGGATAGGAGCCAAGCATGGTAGTGCACACCTACAATCCCAGTATTCTGGGAAGCTGAGGTAAGAGGATTGCAAGTTCCAGCCCAGCCTGGGCAATGTACTGGTTGGGTTCAATCGCTAGTAGGGCAAATAGTTTTTTTTTCCTTTTTTTTTTTTGTTTTTGAGACAAGGTCTTGCTTTGTGGTTCGGGCTGACCTTGAACTCACAGTAATCCTCCTGCCTCGGCCTCCCAAGTGCTGGGATTATAGGCATGTACCACCACATCTGGCTCAGTATGGAAAATAGTAAGAATTATAATTCAGATAATGTAGGTACTTAGTACAGTAATGAAACATAAGTACTCATTAATGTTATTGACTTTAATCTATAAAGTAGTTCTATCTCTTTTCTGATTAACAGAAAAGTAAGTAACGTGCTCAAAAAAAAAAATGACAGAATGAGGAAGTGAGCCTGAAGTTGCCCAAAGTCCATCTATTCTCTTCAGTCCTTCTGCGTCAGCGATCCCAGAAGCAATAACGCCAGGTTCCAGGTGGAGACTTTGAAGAGAAGGGTGTGTCGGGGACGGTAAGTTCCCCGTGATGACAGCACACAGAGGGAGAGGAAGGGAGTCCTGGACAGTAGGTCCAGATTCACAAGACCTCCACTGACATTCATAAAATGTGTCAGCCTCACTAATTCGCTTGTGATGCTTAGCTCTAAGAAGTGCTGAAGCTGAACATTCCCTTTGGAGTGTAAGGAATAAGACGAGCTCTGTGTAGGACATTTTTGGCCTGGCTAAGGTCAGGGTGGTGGGTTTATTGCTGAGGACGAGTTCTGACAGTTGCTACAGAGAAGCTACAGAAGCAAAGACAAGCAAAAGTGCTTGTCTTCCAAATGCAAAATTAGAGGGAAGTTCAGTAAACTAAAATTCCATACGTAATAGGTTTTGCAAATAAACATCAATTAGAAAAAAATTTTAGGAAATGGAATTGACAGAATCTGACTCTTTAGAGAAAATCTCTCTGCTCTCCCTCCCAGATAGTTAGATAGTCAGACTGTTCCCATGTGGAGATATTGCCTTTCATCATCCTATGACTCTGTCATTTTTATTTATTTTTTATTTATTAAAAATTTTGTTTGTTTTTGAGACAGGGTTTTGCTATGTATTTCAGGCTGGCCTTGAACTCATTACAGAGCCCAGGCTGGTCTCAAACTCATGATGACCCTTTTGTCTTGGTTTCCCAAGTGCTGGGATTTGGGGCATGTGCCTCCACACCTGGCGAGTTCTTTAGTTTGAGAAATAGCAATAAGCACAAAATGCACCTTGAGTCCCTGCTGCACCCTTGACAACACTGTATGCTTAAACTGAAAGACACAGATTTGATTTGTCTTCTGGAAGGAGGTGAGGGGAATTAATTTTTGTCTAATTGTTTTTAGGAATACATTTGCCAGCCTAAAAAAAAAGGAGGACATCGCATCGGATGCTACAATATGCATGAATCTTAGGACATTATACTAAGTAAACTAAGCCATGAAAACAAACACTGTTTCCATCTAAACTGGCCAAACTTGGGGCTGGGGATTTAGCTCAGCGGCACAGTGCCTGCCTGGCAAGCGCAAGGTCATGAGTTCGATTCCTGGTACCTGAAAAAAACAAAAAAAAAACAACAAAAAAAGAAAGTGGCCAAACTCAGAATTCAGAGTTGTGATTCCCTGTGGTGATGGGGAGGGAAAATGAAAAGTTATTGATTAATGGGTACAGGGTTCCAGTTTTGCAAGATGCAAAAGTTTTAGAGATATCTTGTGCAATGATGCGAACATTTTTAACCCTACTGAACTGTACACTTAAAATTAGTTATGATGCTAAATTTTATGCTAAAAATTGGGGGCTAAAATGGTTTTTTTTTTAACCACAATTTACTTTGAGGATGCCAACATGTATTGTAGCAACCATTGATGATTTCCTACCAATCTGTCCATAACTCTGTAATGTTTGTATTGCTCCTATGCTATTTTGTGAATGGATGTATGTTTATTACTATGGTTTCAACAACAACCATTGAGAATAGTCAATGATTATCTGATTGATCACTCATGTATAGCTCTATTTGTTTTCCCTGGAGACCACTTTGGAGAAACCAGGGTATAGTACAACAACCATTGATAATTTCCTGCCATTTCTGTCTGTAACTCACTATTAGTTGCCTATTTGTTCTCCTGAGAAACTATCTTGAAGATACCAATAGGTAAAATAACAACCATTGATAATGTCCTACCACTTTGTTTGTAATTTGGTGAATCCCCCTATTGCTATGTTGTCCTTCTTTTACTCTTTAAAAAAAAAATAAATAAAAAAAAAAAAACACAATTGAAAATAAACAGGAAAAGAAAATGTGAAAATGAAAAAATACACTTGACATTGATTTTAATACAACAGGAAAAAGCATTAGCACTGAGTTTCAATTAGGTGCAACTCAGGTACATTACCCATACCAATTGTCTATCTAATCTGATGTATTTAAAAGTATAATTTCCATGAAAGTAACCCCAAAGAGGTCATTTCAGTACCATATTTTCTTGTTCCCATAATAAAAACCTGTTTTCTGCCAATATGTATTTGCATATTTATTCATGATCTACTATGTGCCCAATTTGGTTTCAGGCACTAAGAATATAGTCACAATGCAGGCAGAAGTCTGTAACAGTAATACCGGAAAGCTACAATCAAATTTATCAAGGGGTAGGTGTGTTTATTACTATACTGTCAGGGGTTTGGATCGGTGAGTGCAAAGACAGCACCTCTCAAACTCTATGCGTGTGAACCACATGGGGGAATCTTAAAATGCAGATCTGGTCAGCAGTGTAGACTGGAGCGGATATTCTGGATTTAAATTGTCAAGTGGTACCCATGCTGCTGGCCCATGTATCATGCTTTGCAGCAGGGCATACAGACAGTATCAAGATATAAGAGCGTTAAGATGTAGTATTAATATGTAAGGCGTCCCAAAAGGTTAACATGTTTTCTTTTCAGGAGCAGACAGCACGTGTAATAATATAATAATACACAGGTAGATGGGATGCATCTCCAGACAATTATAATACCAGAAAAATGGGAAATGCTCACCCAGAAAGTAGAAAGTGGCATAGGCAAGAGCTAGAGAGGAGAACCGGCATCCAGACTGGGGAAGAGAGGGCTTCAGGAGATTCACCTAAGGAAGGTGGCCTCACGAATTGAGCCAGGAAGGGGTGCAGGATGTCTGCTGGGGGAGGGGGAGCAGGAGCGTGCTACAGGCCAGGCGTTAGGGTTGGCACTCCTGCGCTTTCGGCTCTGAGTTCATTCAGAGACTGCCTAGTGCTTCTGTTGGGCAGCTGTTTCATTCAGAGGGAAGGTAAGGCTGGAAAGCAGGAATTTTCCACAGAAAACTGTTACTTGGTGACAGATTAATCCCAGCAAAGCCCACCCTAGAATTCCCAAGAACGGACCTATGCTTTCCTGACCTTATGAGCTGGGCACAGTGGCCATTCACCTATAACCCCAACACTCTGGGAAGCTGAGGCAGGAGGATTGCAAGTCTGAGCCCAGCCTGGGCAACTTTAGCAACCTAGTGAGATCCTGTTTCTAAATAAATAAATAAATATCTTGTAAAGGTTGAATGAGATAATTGTTTTTTGGCTTTCTTTCTTTCTTTCTTTCTTTTTTTTTTTTTTTTGAAAACAGTGTCTCTCCATGTAGGTCAGTCTGGCTTTGAACTCAATGGGGATGTAGCTCAGTGCAAAGGCCTTGGGTGCAATCCCCAGTCTGGGGAGCAAAGGGAGGGGTGGTGGAGGGGTGGGGAAGACCCCAACCTTCCCTTCACTCATTTTCTCTGAACACACAGCACACCGTCCTGCGATTTGTTGCTCAGGCTGTCTGCTCTCAGTTCCGGAATCCCTGTGTTTCAGCTCCTCTGGCTGCTCACCAAGACCTTCCCTGACTGTACTATTTCCCAGCTTAGCGGTTTCCTCTCTTTCTCTAGCATGGCATTTTTTGGGACATGATATTTGTTGATGGATTTCTTTGCCTTGGCCCCATGTATCCTTTTAGTGAAAGGTAGCTTTAGGTTTTCTGTTGGGTTCTGCTCTCATCTCTGGAGTACCTGTCAAGACTGGCCTCACATTCCTGCAGCAGCAACTCAGGAGGGGTGTCAGCCCTCCCGTTCCCCTCAAACCTCCCAACTCCTTGCAGTCCTTCTCAGTCAGCCTACCTCCTGGATGCCTGGAAGATACTGGAGGTTGAAGCCTGATCAAAACAAGGGAAGGAGTCAAAGACAAAAACAGAATAATACCAGTAAGTCTCTCTTATTTCTTTATGCTAGCTGTGCTAGGGATTGAACCCAGGGACTCATGTATGCCAGGGAAGACCTTTGCCACTGAGCTACATCCCAAGCCAGCTTTACTTTTAGACAAGGGTTCACTAAGTTGCCCTAGTTGGCCTTGAACTTGTGACTCTTGTTCCTCAGTCTCCCAAGTAACTGGAATTACAGGCATTTGTCACTATGCCTGGCTATACAGTTCTTCATAAGCTATTAAAAGCTAATTGAGGGTAATTTTGACTATGCCTTGCTTAAGAAAGAACTCTATCCATTTTTCCCATCTAAAATTGGGAATCACCAAGCTTTTTCAGTATGAGGTCAAGAGGGTTAGTGAATTAACCTGTCTCCTGGTGGGATCTCTTGGTTACATCTGAAATTTTGCTGTCCAATATGGTGGCCATCAGGCATATGGAGAGATTTAAACTTTAAGTAGTTAAAAGTAAATAATTTAAAATTGAGTCCCTCAGGTACACTAGCCACATTTCACAAGTGGCTTGTGGTTCCCATGTGAGACCACACAGATATATATTACAACCACCACATCAGAAAGTTTCACTGGACCATGAAAAGATCCACACTTTTCTTCACTATCTGTTGCACTTCACTTAAATATCTGAAACTCACTGCTTTTTCATAGAGAAGAGTTTTTGCAAAGAGTGATCTGAAAAGTGCATTTTTAAATTTAAATTGTCTGAGTCTAAATTCTGACTCTACCATTTATATGCTCATGACCTTAGGAAGGTTACTTGATTTCTCTGCACCTTATTTTTCTCATCTGCAAAGTGGGGATAATGGTAGTAACTCTGCCTCAAGGTTGTTGTAAAGATTGAATGATATAATGTTGTTGTTGTTGAGACAGAGACTTATTTGTCTGGGTTGGCCTTGAACTCAAAGTGATTCTCCTGCCTCAGCCACCCGAGTGCTTGGATTGCAGGTTGGTGCATGCCTACACCTGGCTTTGAATGATGTAATTTATATAATGTACTTAGAATAGTGCCTAACTCTGAAGACTCAATAAGGTTAGTTACTTTTTATATTAGTAGTGTTTTAGATACCTACTTGAGATTTGTTGTATTTCATTAATCTGAAGAGTTAGGATTTTTAAGAATTCTGGATCTGGGCATGGTGGTACATGCCTGTAACTCCAGCACTCAGGAGGCTGAGGCAGAAGGATCACCATGAGTCTGAGGCTAGCCTGGGCCACATAAGTGAGTTCAAGGCCAGCCTGTACTACATAGTAAGACCTCGAATCATCCCCTCCCTAAAAAAAAAAAAAAGAATTCTGGAAATTTTTCTGTCATTATTTTTTCAAATGTTGCATTTCCTTAATTCTCTTCCTAGACTTTTGGTTGGCCAGCTGTTGTACACTGTCATGAGATCTTCTCTAATTTTGTTTGTCTTTTTGAGACAAGGTCTTGCTATGTAGTTCAGGCTGGTCTTGAACTCACTGTGTAGCCCAGGTTGGCCTCACACTATTAGTGATCTTCCTGCCTCAGCCTCTTAAATGCTGGGACTAGAGGTGTGTACCACCACACCCAGTTTGACATCTTCTATAACTTTACATGATTCAATGTCCTTTTCTGTAAAATAAGGATATAAACAGTCTCTGCCTTATAAAGTTGGTATTAGGATTACATGAGTGAAAAAGTGAAATGCTTAGAATAGCATCATATTTGGGTCAGCTTTTATCAGCCATTATCAGCATTCCTTATTCGTTTTTAGTCCTTAGAGATTTTCCTGAATTTATTAGGGGTATTTTATGATAATTTAGCCAACTCTATTAAATTAGAAATTATCCCAGACTCTTTTTTGATTGCAAGCAGAATTCTTTCCTTTCCCTCTTCTTTTCATGACTGTTTAAGAGAATTTAATATCTGTATTAGTTTTTAATTACATTGAGTATATGACAGAAAACTCTAAACAATCATACCATTAAAAAGTAGAGCCAGGTGTGGCAGTGCACACGTAATCCCAGCACTCTGGGAGATGAAGTGGGAGGATCACAAGTTAGAGCCCTACCTAGGCAACTTAGCGATTTAACAAGTCTTTATTTTGAAATAAAAAATGACCTGGAGATGTAGCATAGTAAGAAAGGCTTGGTTTCAATCCCTAGTTTGGTTAAAAAAACAAAAAAAAAGTAGGTCTTTCTTTCTTTCTTTCTTCTTTCTTTCTTTCTCTTTTTCTTTCCTAAGTGAAGTATAGAAGGATGAGGTCAGTAGCAGGTATGCCTTCTCTGTGATCTTTAGGAGTACAATCTTGTTGTAGTTCCTAAACTTCTGACTTTCATCTTGTAATCTAAGATAGCTGCTCTAGATCCAGCCATTACATCCACATCCTAGTTAATAGAAGAGGTAAAGAAGGATACACCTTTTCCCTTTAATATGTTTTTCTAAAGACATACATACCACTTCCTATTGGCTAGAATGTAGTCACATGGGTATGCCATGGGACACTAGACAATGCTATTTTTTTTGAGACAGGGTCTTGCTATATAGTCCAGGCTGGCCATGAACTCACTATTAGCCCAGGCTGGCCTCAAACTCCTGGTGATCCTCCGGCTTCAGCCTCCCAAGTCCTGGAATTACAGGTGTGCGCCACTACACTCAGTGAGAACGTGATCTTTATTTTCAAACAGCAGATGCCAAGGTGGTAACAGATACTGGGGAAGCTAACAATCTGCCACGGTGATCCTCCTCTGTTCCCTCTAGGATCACATAGCCTCCTTATCTCGATCACTGCTATGGTGAATGACTTGGCTGGCTTGCGGTGACATTTCCATTATTAGCACTGAAAATCCCACGTCCTGGCACCTCCTACCCACCACTGCACCAGTCCTGGGAAAGCTGGGATGACTGGTAACCCAGTATCAGTCTACATGGCTCCTTGAAAAGCCGCCCATGTCTCATTCACTGTTCCATGCTTAGTGCCTAGCAGAGTGTCCCACACGGAGTATTTTGTTATTTTTCTACCACAGTGACAAAATACCTGCACTTAACTTTTAAGGAGGAGAGGTTTAGTTTACGGCTTCAGAGGTTTCAGTCCATGGTCGCTTGGCTCTGTTGCCTTAGCTAGCACATCATGGCGGGATTGCTTGATGAAGGCTGCTTGACTGCTGGTGGCCAGGAAGCAAAATGAGAGAGACAGGAGTGGGGCAGAGTCCTAGTATTCCCTTCTAGGGTATGTCCCCGCTGACCCAACTTCTTCCCACCAGGTGTCCCACTAGGGTCCCCCCTTTCCCCTGCACCAACACCACCGGTGCTGAGTGTGATCAAGCATTTAACACACTGGCCTCTGGGACAATCCAGATTCAGTGCCTCTCCCTCCCTCTTCCCTCTTTCCTCTTCCATTTTCCCTCTTCTCTCCTCTCCTCTCCTCTCCTTCCTTTCCCTCTCCTCCCTTACCCTCCCCTCCCCTTCCTTCCCCTATGCTCTCCTCTCCTCCCTTCTCCTCCTCCTCCTTCTTTCTCCTCCTCCTCTTCCTCTTCTTCTTCTCCCCCTGTGTGTGGGGTTTTGTATAAGCTACATCCTCAGCCTTTAAAAAATGTTTTTTAAATTTTATTTTGAGACTGGATCACGTTAGGTTGCCCGGGTTGGGCTTGAAATTGTGAACCTCCAACCTCAGCTTCCCAGAGTTCTGGGATTACAGGTGTTTGCCACCACGCTCGGCTCCCAGGAGCTGTTCTATTTTTACAGATGTGTTTTCAGTAGATCCACGTGTCCCTCAAATTCTTATGTGAACGTCTCAGTGCCTCGGAATGTGGCCTTATTTGGAATAGAGTTGTGCTGACATAATTCGATCAGATGAGGTAGAGTGGGCCCCTAATCCAATCTAATTCAGTGTGACTGGTTTCTTACTAAAAGGAGAATTTGAATACAGAGACATGCACACAGGAAGAACGCATGTGATGACTGCGTTACACTGCCACAAGACAAGGAAGTAGCAGGACCTCTGGGTAAGGCCTGAAAGAGACCCTTTCCTAGAGCTGCACACACATACATCACCATCATCGCAGACTTTCATCCCCCCAAATCATGAAGCAATGAACTTCTGTTGTTTAAGTCACTGCGTTTGTAGTACTTTGTTATGGCATTGCCAGCAAACTAATATAATATAGTCACTCATTTAAGTCATCACAACTTCTGTGTGAGATACCTATTATTATATTCCCATTTACAGATGTGGAAGCAGAGGCACTTAGCAGTTAAGAAAACCAAAGAAAATGCCAAGGAACAGTAAAGAGAAAGAGGGACAGACAACCCAAAAATACAAGGGAAGAGGAAGGAGAAGAGAAATTTTTGAAATTAGATATGGATAGGAATACAAAAAAAGAAAAAGTGACAAAGAAAAAGAATTAAAACTTGACCTTGCCAAAGAACATTAGAATCGCTAGGTCTCTAGGTATAAACCACTACCATTTTTCTCTTTCATATATGCCTAGAGCTTGAATAAAAATGTCCTCCTGTAAGGAAATTCTACCTTGTTTTTGACACTTGCAGGTATTTTATTATATTTTGAACCTGAAGCTATAGCTCCTAAGAGCCCTGGTCTTGATTTTGCAATATAGGTTTCATTTTTATTTGAAGAGAGGGACTAATAATCACTTGTTCCATGAATGCTGCTTTGAGAGGTTTGGATTTTATGCTCATGTGCTTCACAGGTTTGCTTGTAAACGATGAAACAGAGCTTGTGTTTTAAAAGTTTTATATAGAAGTATCTAGTTTCATGTTTCATGTGCATATATATACACACCTATACACATAGCTATCATATACACTTGTATATATATATATATGCATGTGTGTGTGTGTATATACACATGCACTTCTGCTGAAGGCATAGCTAAAATGCAAAGTTAGAGGCAATATTCTGGGACAATGGGGCTTAATCTTCCAGAATGCAGTATGCATATTGTTTTAGAGACCTTTACATCATGCTATGTATCCAGTCAAAAGAATAAATGGACTAGGTGTGGTGGTGCATGCCTGTAATTTCAGCTCTGGAAGGTTGAGGCAGGAGAATTAACATGAGTTCGAGGCCAGCCTAAGCTATGTAGTGAGTTCATAGTGAACTGCATAGTGAGATCTTGTCTCAGAAAAACGAATAATAACAGGACAGAACAGAACAGAACAGAACAGAACAGAACAGAACAGAACAGGACAGAAGGATTTGGGAATGAAGGAGTGGTGGAAGCCACAACAGCTGTATTTGCGGTTACTCCCCTTGACCTTCTAGGGACATTTTGCCTCCTGGGCCCTATAGGGTTAGAGGTTCTGTTGCACACTCACTGGAGTAAAAAAGTCCACTTGAGTTACAAACTCTGGCTGCCATCCTGACCATTTGTACTTCTTGTGGCCAGAGACCAGCAGGTGAAAAAGTGACCGTCTCGGCAGACATAATCAACCCTGACCATAGTGGGCAGTCAGACTGATTTTATACCATGGGAACAGGGAGGCCTAAGAGTGGAATCCCAGGTGACTCATTTGGGGGCCTCTGGGTTCTTGTCCTCCCCTGCTCAACTGTGACTGTGAATAGACAAGTGAAGACACTCAACCTGAGCAGGATGGGTCAGTGCAGGGCTTAAGGAACCCCAATAGTGAAGTTTGAATGATAGCACCGAAAGCCACCAAGACTAGCCAAGGTGGCTGAGGGCAAGAGGGATTTCCCATGGGTACTGGAGAAGAGACTCTGAGTTCTACTAGAGGCCCTGAGGTCAACTGAGATGACAGAGGTCAAAACACTAGTCCCTAAACACACGCAGAGACGTGGATTTGTGTGGCCCAAGGAGTAGGCTGGGAGACAGACGTGCCACTCAAATCTCCATTCCAGAAAGCCTTGCTTAGTTACAACCAAGGCTTCCAGGATGCAGTTTCTCATTCACTGGGGACACGACCTTAAAAACTCCACCCACTAGATTTTCTGTTACCTTTCTAGCGGTCAGCCTATGGAAACATTTTATTAATTTATGGGTTTTATTTCCACTGCCTGTGTGAGCGCTGTCCACTAGAAATGCAGTGCAAGCCACATGTGATTTTTCTCATAGCTATTTCATTGGTAATGAGGTTTTACAAACAGCCACATTTCAAATTCTCCCCGCAGGGCATGCCAACATCCCTGGAGCCTTGCAAATGTGCTTTGCCTGGCTAACCTGGGCTGTAACCCTTCCCAAAGGGAGGGACCCCAACTGAAGTAAGATGACCCCAGAATGCACTCTCAATTACTGTATGATCATTTCTTTACTCATATGTTATTATTATGTAAGGCTGATAGGACAACCGTGGATTGAGCATCAGTTTTTATTTTGTTGTTGTTTTTGAGACCATGTCACCAGGCTAGCCCCAGATTCATTATGTAGCCCAGACTGGCCTTGAACACTCAATATTCCTCTCCAAATGCTGAGATTAAAGGCATGCCCCACTGCACCCACCTCTCTTGAAAACAGCTGTCTTGAAAATAAATCTTTTTTTATTAGTACACAAGTACATAATGATTATATTCATTGTGGTTGAAATAAATCTTGACTTAAACTTTTTTAGAGAACCAAAGTGACCTTGATAGCAATGGAAGAAATGACAGCATGTAAAATTCCTTAAAGAAAAACGTGTTGGGCTGGAAGTATAGTTCAGTGGTAGAGCCTGTGCTTGAAGTACATAAGGCCCTGGGTTCGATCCCCCGCATCTCACACACACACACACACACACACACACACACACGCACACACACACACACAGGTTTAAAAGAAGGCAGCTTTGCTGCTCAGGTGCCAAGGATGGGTGGGCTGACAGCCCCTAGCTTCAGTGTCTGCCGCAGATTTCAAACAATCTTAGACAACGCCTGAGCAAAGTGGTGATTCAGGGCTTTGCACTTGCACTGAAAGTAGAATTCTGATGCCTGTTGGAGAAGCAGAGGCTTTGTGAAGTCTGCATTGTGGAATGACAGGTCCCCTTCACCAACCTTTCTGTCCTTTGTCCTTTTCACAGGTGTCATTCTCTAATAAACTCATTGCACTCAGAACTGTTTCATCCATCAATTCCTGAAACCAGCAGTCACTGAATCACAAACAACCACGAAACGTCAGTGACACAAAACACCGGACATTTCTTACTGTGTAGGAGCGAACAGGACAGCCGGCAGCAGTTGAACATTCGCTGGGCCACTCAGGGGTCTGTGGTCAGCTGCCGGTCGGGTAAGCAGTTCTGACCTCGACTAGGTTGTCTGCTATGTTTGGGGGTTGCCTGGCTGTGGCCTTGTGTGGAAGGCCCTGCGTGGGACAAGCAGCCTTTCTTTCACATCGTGTCCTGTTTAGGAGGCTTGCCCAGTCTGGCTCACATGGCAGGAGGGCAAGCTGACATGAGCAAGGCCTCTTGGGATATAGACTTGGAATTCACACCCTGTCGGCTTCATGGGGGAAGGGAACCGTTTCCTGATGTAGGAGACTGAAAGGCTCATGGTGAAGTGAAGACAGATAGGGGGAGGCATAGGGAATTGGAACACTTCTGCAACCATCTACCCAGAAGAATTCCCTACATTTAAGCACGCTGAACCAAGGCTAGAGAGATCTCAGTCGGCTGCACTGTGCCTTTTCTTTCTTTTTTTCATGGTGCTGGAGATAGCATGTGCTAGGCAAGCACTCTACCACACAGCTACATACTCAGCCTATATGTTGTTGTTAATTTTTGCAGTTTTGGGGATAGAACCCAAGGCCTTAGCATTGAGTTACATCCTCAGCCCTTTTAAAGAAAACTTTTTTATTTTGAGACAAGTTCTTACTAAGTTGCAAAGTTGCCCAGACTGAATTCAAACTTGCAATCCTCCTGCCTCAGCCTTCCAGACTATTGGGATTACAGGCGTGCTTAACTACACCCAGCTCGTATTGTTTTTCAAATGAAAGGTTTGAAGCACACAGAACGGCTGGTGTAATTCACTGGTAGAGTACTTGCCTAAAATGTGCAAAGTGCTGAGTTTGAGCCTCAGCACTGCAATAAATAGGCAAAAGCACTCGGAAAATTTGGAGAATGACGTAACCTCTCATGGAATTACCATCCTACCTGTTGAGCACTTTCCGTTTCCTTTTGTCCTTTCCACAGGTGTCATTCTCTAATAAACTGGTTGCTACTCCTATTTCATCTACCAATTCCCGGAAAATCCAAAACCAGTATGTGAACCTACCATGTTAACGTTCTGCCACATGAACAAAACTTTGAGGGCGCTGTACTTAATTTTTTTGTGTGTGCTGGAGATTGAACCCAGGGCCTTCCACATGCTAGGCAAGTGCTCTGCCACTAAACTATAACCCCCAGCCCTTTTTATTTTGCTACATTGCCCAGTCTAGCTTCAAACTTGGGATTCTCTTGCCTTAATCTCTCAAGTAGCTGGGATTATAGGTGTGAGCCCCTACCTATGGCTAAATGCTGTATACTTCTAAATACACTGTACTTCTGTCCATCCTTTTGTTTTTTTGGTCTGCAGCTGTAAACTTTTAAGTCCAGACAGTTATTTTTTAATCTAAGTGAAAGGCCTGAGACTCGTATCTTCTGGTGATTCAGCAGCAGAAAAGAAAAAGAATTATCTCTTTCCATCAGTAAATGAGTATTTATTGTGATTAAATTTCCTAAATACTGTAACACATGCATATTTATATACCAGATTCTTATTTTTTATAGTTTTCAATTTGTATACCATTTTGCTTAAAGTTAGGGCTGTATATCTAAAGTGAGGAACCAAGAAAATTTTCCAGTACAATGAGGGCATTTTTTTCTTACAGCTCTTACAGTTTTTTTTTTTCCTTAATACTTAAAGCTTTGAAGGTGAATCTTGCTCTACTCTTTGTCTCTCAATCTTCATTCCAAGTTTCTTAGTGTGTTCTTTCTCTGGGTTTGGCTCTTGCTCTGTCACTTGGGTGTGTAGATGTTTCCACAGGTTTGTTTAGTTGCTAGTCAGCCACACCTTTGATTTTTCTTTCATAGGACTGAATTGTTATTGCTCCTAACTCCTACCTGGCTTTCGTGCTTCAGTACGACATCAGAGTACAATCCCTTTCCTCTGCTAAGTTTCCTGTGCCTTTATGGAAAGTGGGTTATGCCTTTTATTTTAAACAGCTTTACTAAAATATAATTCACATACCAGGAAATTCATCCTTTAGTACATTCAGTATGCCATAAAATTCATCCCTTAGTATACGAAGTTGCGCAACCACCATCACTTCTGATTTGAGAATATTTTCATCATCCCCAAAAGCAGACCTGTACCCATTCATTAGTCCCCATTCCTGGTATTCCTGGCAATCCCCAATGTACCTTCTATTTCTATGAACTACCTTATTCTGGACAGTTAATACAAGAGTCATACATCAAAGCAGTCTTTCATCTTTAGCCTCTTTAACTTAGTATAATGTTTTCAAGGGGTATCTATGTTGTAGCATGTCTCAGTATTTCACTTTTAGCACCAAATAATACTCCATTTATGGCTAAGCCACATTTTGTTTTTTCATTCATCAAACACCTGGAGTTATGTACCTTTTGGCTTTATGAATAATGTCGCTATGAGGATTCTTATATTGTTTTTTGGAGACATGTTTTCATTTCTCTTGAATATACATCTAGAATTAGAATTGCTGTGTTATATGGCAACTCTAAGTTTAACTTTTCAAGGAACTGCCAAACTGTTTTCTGGATTGGCTGCAACATTTACATCCTCCCAAGTATGTAAGAGGGTTGCCAGTTCTGTACATTTTCATCAACACTTATTATTGTCTGTCTTTTTACATTTTAGCCATTCTAGTAGGTGTGAAATGGCACCTCATGTGATTCTGATTTATATTTCCTTAATAACTAATGAAGTTGAGTATCTTCTCATGCTGAGCATCCTATTGGCCATTTGTATGTACCTTCTTTGGAGAAGTTGGTTTTTAAAAAATTATTGCTAAGTTGTAAATTTGTTCTATATTCTGAGAGCAAGTTCCTTATCAGATATAAGCTTTACAAATATTTTCTCCCATTGTTTCTGTGTGTGTGTGTGTGTGTGTGTGTGCGCGCACTCACTCAATCCAACAACCCAGGGTCTTGCAGATGCTACCTTTTTACCATCTTGATGATATCCGTTAATGCATAAAAGTTTTTATTTTTTGGAGGTATGCTTTATTTTTTCTTTTACTGCTTATGAATTTGGGTTGCATCTTAGAAATCATTTCCAGTCTTGAAGTCACAGAGATTTAATATTGTTTTCTTCAAAGAGTCTTGGTTTTAGTTCTTCACCTGGTTCTATGATCCATGTAACATATGTGAAAAGCATCTACCTGAGCAGGTGCTGATAGTGAATATCTCTTTCCTTCTTTTGTCTCCCTGCATTACAGACAGCTAAGTTAGAAAGAAATTAATAGGCAGTCAGACAGGGCTGGGCCCTCGAGGGAGTCACTGCAGAAGGTGAGAACATATCACCACTGTGGCTGGAGATGCATCTGAAAAAGGCAAAGCCTTGAGATTAAAATCACAACGGCCAGACTTGCATATTTCCATAAAGGATGAATGGAAACTTAAATTTTGGGACCATGTAGTCCATTAAATCCAGGTAGACATTAGTCACCCAGGTGGGTGATCAGAGCATCCGGACCCATCCCTCCCCAAAGATGGCTTTGTTCTTTCCATGTATCCCTGCTACGTGATACATGGAAAGCCCTCCACTTCCCTACTGGGTCAACAGTAGCTAAGCAGCTGTACTTGTCATCTTATTGGTTGATTATATACCCATGTCTGCACTCACCTCCTGACTTTGTACATACCTTGTGAATGCTTGCCTTGTAGAACATTCTCAGAGAAATTGCTTCAGTGGCAATCCACTTGTGGTCCCCTATTGTCTCTCAGGAACAATCCCTGAATAAATTTTTCCTACTCTTAACCTCTGCTGTCCTTAGAATTCATTCTTCCATTTTGGGGAAGGAACTCAACGTATCTGACACCCAGCAGGTTGGGAGTTATATTTTCTCCTGGATCACCTGTAGCATTAGTATGGTACTTGGCACACACTAGTGACCATAAATGTTTGCTAAGTGTAGAGTGGCCCTCAGCATGTACCCCCCCCCCGCAAAAAAGGGTGTGCTTTCCCAAAGGTCTAATTTCATCTTTTCAGAACAGCATTCAGCTTTTCCAAACTAAGACTGAATGGTAACAGACTGACTCAAATGGCTTATAAAGTTATGTTGTTATCAGGGTAAGCACCTCCAAATTATGCCTCATTCTTAAAGGCAAGTGACTAGTGTGTTTAATTAAAGTGAATCTAAGGCCAGGGGTGGTGGTGCACACCTGTAATTCCAGCACTCAGGAGGCTGATGCAGGAAGACTGCCAAGAGTTCAAGGCTAACCTGGGCTACAGAGTGAGTTCAGGGCCAGCCTGAACTACATAGTGAGACCCTGTCTCACCTCCTCTTCAAAAAAAGAATCCAAACACTTAAAAGAACTCTAGCTGGGTGTAGTGGCACATGCCTATAATTCCAGTACTTGGGAGGCTGAGGCAGGAGGATCATTGAAAATTCTAGGCTAGTCTGTGCTACATAGTGAATTAAGGCCAGCCTGAACTACATAGTGAGACCTTGTCTCGAAAAAACACAAAACAAAACAAAACACAACCTTAAAGTTTCAGAATTCTCTTTTTTTTTTTCTGGATTAATTTTCAGTTCTCCAGTGTCTACTTATTTAACTGCTTCTGCAGTAACAACATTTTAACTTGTGGACTTGACCTCAATTTCTCAAAATCAGTGGTGGTTCTTATCTGCTTAAAAAGGAAAAGATTTTCTCAGGCAGCAACAACCACCATTGAAAAGGTAAAAAATCAGCATGTGGGTACAGCAGGCAATTCTGTTTCTCTCTTACACGCTGAACATTAGAGCTAAGAGAGTCCAAGAAACAGAGCAGAAAGTTAAAGCTGGCCATCTCACACAGGAATTTGCTAAGGTTTTGTGTCCAGGCAATTTTTCTGCCTGCTGCTTAAGTATCTTTTTGTGAGATTTCACAATCAAAGTCGGTCTCTCAGTGTGAAGAATGTATGTGCACCTACTGAGCCTTAAATGTGTATGATATAGGAACACCCCATAGCTTTTGTTATACAACTCTTTGCAGCTTAGAAAAAACATTTGGGGGGTAGCTTCCACAGCTAAGTGCTTCTAGTGACTCCACAGCCAATCCTCCTGTCATTTGGCCAAATCCCCTCCACACAAATAATTGGTTATGGAGCTCCTTAAGCACATTTTCTTCCGGTCCTAGGGATTGTGGCCTTTTCCTAACCCTTAACAGTGGGGCTTTATTTAGTCATTCGTTCATTTAAATATTAAAAAGTTTTTATTAGCATATGTGTACAGTACACAATGATTACATTCATTATGGGCAGTTGGTACACGTGCATCTTAACTCTTTATACATCCACCCTCCTCCACTTCTTGGTCAATCATTCATTTATTTGGTTTTTTTTCCGGTGCTGGGGACTGAGCCCAGGGCCTTGAACATACTAGGAAAGTATCCCTCCAGTCCTATTTATTACTTTAAAAAAATTAAGCTTTATTTTTCAATACTGAGGATTGAGCCCGGGGCTTCGCATTGAGCTACACCCAGTTTTTTTCTTTTTTTTTCTTTTGAGAAAGGATCTCACTCAATTGCTGACTTGCACACACTGGGCTTTGAATTTGTGATCCTCCTGCTTCAGCCTCCCAAAACTGTTGTGATTACAGGCCTGTGCCACGGTGCTAGGCTTCATTTTTAGGTTTACTTATTTTTTATTTATTTTGAGATAAGAGTTCCCGTGTAGCTCAAGCAAGCGGGGCTTGAATTCGTGATTCTCCTGCCTCAGCCTTCCCGGCGATGAGACTATTTTGAAGAGGAGTTTTGGGTTCATAACACAATTTGGCTAAGAGTATAGACCTCTCCTTGCCCCACACATGCATAGCTCCACCCTCCTCAGCATCCCTTACAGGGTGCTACACTTGTTACGACTGAGGAACCCACACTGCCGCAGCTTTTGTCACCCGCCGACCACGGCTGACACCGAAGTTCACTCTTGGCGTCGTCCATTCCACGGCCCTGGACAAACGCAGACGAATGACAGGTCCCTTACGGAGCGCCCTGAAAATCCTCCGTGCTCCGGTACGGCTTGATTTTTCCAAGAGAAAAGAGAAGAAAAGGTTATATGAGAAACCCAAAGTATAAATAATTTAAAGAGCAACCTGGAAGATAACAAGGAAACACACGACAGACCTGGAGCGAGCGCGAGAGCCAGAAGCGTGCGGCGCCGAGGCCAACTGAGCTCCGCTCCAAGGGGGCCGGGCTCCAGCCGCAGCTGCCGGTCCCGCTCCGGCTGCGACTCCGGGACAGGTTCCTCCTCCCTTTGTTTCAAGGTCAGGCGAGAGGGTTTCCTGTTGACGCTGGAATCCGCGGAGGGGCAGGAAGAGCTGGCCACCCCGCTCAGCTGCCAGCCGCCGGTCGAGCGGAGCCGAGCGC